AATCAAAAGGTGGAATGGCTTATGAAAGGATGAGAGAACAGGGCTTTATCATATAGGACGCAGCTTATGCTTTGAATCAGAGACCATTGTTAGTGTTGTTTCTCAGATAGCCAGAATACATGGGTCCCAGAATCAAGAGGTAAAAGTTTGAGTGGTCCCTCTCCCTATTATACCTGATAACTCACATAATATTTTCTTTCTTTCTTTTATTAATTCAGGATATTATGGGGGTACAAACATTTTGGTTACATGTAATGCATTTGCCTTGCCCAAGCCAGGGCTATAAGTGTGCCCTTCCCCCATACAGTGTGCTCCACTTTCATTAGTTGTGGGTTTACCCCCCACACCTGACCAGCACCTAACGAGTATTACTAACATGTGAACACCTTAGCATTCATCAGTTAGTAGCAATTTGATGGCGAGTACACGTGGTGCTTGTTTTTCCACCCTTGTGATACCTCACTTTGAAGGATGGGCTCAATCTCCATCCAGGGTAACATAAGAGGTGCTAGTTCACCATTGTGTTTTGTGGCTGAGTAGTATTCCATGGTGTACATATACCACATTTTATTAACCTGCTAATGTATTGATGGGCACTTGGGTTGTTTCCACATCTTTGCAATTATAAATTGTGCTGCCCTAAACATTCAAGTGCAGATGTCTTTATTATAGAATGTCTTTTTTTCCTTTGGGTAGATGCCTAGTAGTGGGATTGCTGGATCAAATAGTATTTCTATTTTTAGCTCTTTGAGGTATCTTGAAATTACTTTCCACAAGGGTTGTACTAATTTGCAGTCTCACCAGCAGTGTAAGAGTGTTCCAATCTCTCCACATATACACCAGCATTTGTTGTTTTGCGACTTTTTGATAAAGGCCATTCTCATTGGAGTTAGGTGATATCTCATTGTGGTTTTGATGTGCATTTCCCTAATAAGTAGAGATGTTGAGCACTCTTTTATATGTTTGATGGCCATTATTCTGTCTTCTTTTGAAAAGTTTCTGTTCACGTCTTTTGCCGATTTATTGATGTGTTTTTTTATTTTTTCTTGCTGATTTTCTTAAGTTCTATATAGATTCTTGTTATCAGCCCTTTATCGGATGTGTAGAATGCAAATATTTTCTCCCATTCTGTAGGTTGTCTACTTGCTGTAATGATAGTTTCATGGCTGTGCAGAAGCTTTTTAATTTGATCAGGTCACATTTGTTTATTTTTGTTGCTTCTGTGATTGCTTTGGGGGACTTCTCCATAAATTCTTTGCCTAGGCCAATGTCTAAAAGAGTCTTCCCAACATTTTATTCTAGAATGCTTAAGTTTTCATGCCTTAGGTTTAAGTCTGTTATCCATCATGAGTTGATTTTTGTGAGAAGGGAGAGGTGGGGATCCAGTTTTAATCTTCTATATGTGATTATACAGTTTTCCCAGCACCACTTATTGAATAGAGATTCTTTTCCCCAGTGTATATTTTTATCTGTTTTGTTGAAGATTAGATGACAATATGAAAATGGTTTTATATCTGGGTTCTGAGTCTTGTTCCAAAGGTCTATATCTCTGTTCTTGTGCCAATACAATGCTGTTTTGGTTACTATAGCCTTGTAGTAAAGCTTGAAATCTGGTAGACCAATGCCTCCTAACTTGTTATTTTTGCTTAAGATTGCTCTGGCTGTACTTTCATGCCCAACAGTAAAACTTAATGGAAAAAAGTGTAGGCATCCAAAAAAAAAAAAAAAAACCCACAGGATGATTAGATGATTGAGGACTCAGACCCTTCAGGACTGAAAATTTGGGTCGTTCTATCAAGGAAATAACCTGGAGCAGCTGAGTTTCTGGCTTAGGGCAAGGGAAATATGGAATGAGAGTGAGAGAAGGGAGGCATAGATATCAATTATAATGTCATGACCAACTGCACAAACAAGGACTGTGGTTGCTTTGCATATGTTCTCTTTGTAATTCCATGTGTTCATTTCTATATAATAATCACTCTCCTTATCTTTCTCATTCCCATTAAAAATTATTTTATATACAAGTTATTGGAAGTTGACTTTCAATTTTGTCATTAGGTAACAGAATATTCAGTGTGGCCATGACTGAATTTGAGGAGTAATTAATACAGCCTGCAATGGATGCAATGACTGTGAGGACTATGCACCTTCTCACAGGAAGAGTGACTGATGTATCATGTTATGTGTAAATATGTTGTTTTCTTTGTTGTAAGGGAGTTTAAATGTTCATAAACAGGAACATATGACAGCCAAAGCCACGGACTATACGTGTTATCCATTTCTTGCTCTCAGTGTCCAATGCAGCCATTAACATATGCTCTGTAATAAACAACAGAATCCCTTTGAGCATTTCTCCTTGAGGCAAGTATGATTTTAAACCTTCTCAGTAGAGGGCACCAGAGGAGCACTGTGAGAGAATGAGGTTTACTGCAATCTCCTGCCAGGGCCATGGCTCAGAATGCACTATGACCTTGCACCCTTGGACCTGGTCCCCTCTCAACATGAAAACCAGAGCCCCGCACAGCTGGTCAACTGCCTGACTCCTTCAGCAAGCCCTGGAATGGCCTGCACACAGCCACCTGCTGGGTTCATTCAGCAAGCTTCTATGTTGCACCTGTAGTCTCCAGGGTCACACACAGAGAAGTAATTCTTCCTCCAAACCCCAAGCACTGTGAAGGCTTGCTGTTCCCAGTGGCTCCCAGCATCCAACTGCATCCCCATGCTACTGTTGCTGAACACTTACTCCCTTACCTGCACTTTGGAGGGTGGCCTGTAGTTTGCCTATCAGCTTCAGAGCAGCTCTGGCCTGGCCAACCAGCAATTCCTCTGCAATACAGTACTTGAACTATACCTTCTCCAAAGGAGTCCAAGTTTATCCTTCTTTAGCCACTATCCCCTCAGTTCCAGGATACTATTCATAGTTAATACCTATTTATATTAAATTTCCCCTGTTTATCCTACTGGGTAGATTCTCTCTCCTGATTGGACCTGAGAGCTACAGTTTCTCTAACTTTTCAAAGTCAGTATCATTATCTCTATTTTACTGAAGAGAAAAACTGAAGATCAGAAAATTAATGCTCACAGTGGTTGCAGGCCATACCCAAAGTCCTTCAGCTAGTTTGAAGGAAGTGGGATTTCAACCCTGTTCTGTCTGCTCCATCTCTGGTCATTACTACCCAGGGCATCCAACCATCCCAATATATTCTTCCCAAACTGAGTTTCACCTCCTCTTCTTACAGCTTCGCTTTGAAATCCCCTTTTCTAAAATTGAAGCACATCTAGAATTTCTTCATGGAATGTTCCCTTCGCCTCTTTACCAAAACCTGAATTTTCCCCAGTGGCAGCGCTCTTGGGTGGGCTTTTAAATAATCACCTGGACCATTTCCCACTCTGAAATATTAGTTTCCTGTATCCTACTCTCTGCCAGCAACTCTCCCAGTTCTCTCCCATCCTTACTCTCACCGCATCTGTTCTCTCATCTGTTGCCCTTCCATCTCTTCCCAATGTACCAACGTTATCTTGATGTAGGCTGGATAACATGATCAACTCCTGTAATGCCTCTGCAATTTTTTCCTCTGTCCCTGTGGTCTGGGGCTTGCTGTATCTGCCAATCCTTCTATATGGCTCCTGCCAGCTCTCTCTCCCATTGCCCCCAGCACCTCTCTTCAAGCCTCCTTCCTTACTACTTTCCCAAACATGCTCAGCAAATGCCCTATAATCAGCTGTGAAATGTGAAGCCAAATATGGTTCTTCTTTATACCAGTTCTCATGCTCATAACTATCATCAATACCACAATCATCACTACTTTCCTTCCGAGTTCAAAGTACACTCATGGACATCTGGTTCGATTGAATCTGTGTCACCTTCCTTAGAACCAACATTGTTTTATTAAGGACTGTTAGTTAATGAAAGTTCAATTATTATGATCTTAAAAAGACTATTAATAGTTTTAAAATTTACTTTGTTTTTAAAGGAAGAATCTGACAGTATTTCATCACAGCAGCATTTCGTTGAATAACTGGTCATCTGTATTCATTGGGTGATTTGGACTCTGAAAAGTCAAGACAAATTCAGAGCATGAAAGTCTGGGATGTTTCAGTGGACTGTGAGATGGCAGAATGCTGACAAGGATTAAGCAAATCATAGAAACAGCTGCCTCTTTTTCTCTTGTTCCTCTGGTGCTGGCAAAGGTGAGGGAAATATTTAGAGGAGGTTCTGTGAAAGTGGGTGGAGGCTCCCCAGGAAATCTTCCCTCTGAATCAGGCCTCACTGGGGTGTTGTCTGCCTTTCTTGGTATAATAGACACTGTGTGGTACAATTGTCTAAGATTATGTGGAGCAACTTGTGTATGCCTCCTCCAAGGTGCCAGGGCCCATAAGGGGCCAAAGCCATGGGCGAAGCATTCTGGCACTGGTAACAGAAGCCAGTACCATTATGACCATCATATTCTTCTATTCCTGCCAACAACTCATTGAATCAAGTACTCTATTAGCACCATTATTCCTCAGTTCAGATTTGAAGAAAGGTTTATTAAAAGCTCTACCATGTGGGTGTATCAATGAATGTATCTTTGAAGGGTGCTGGCTGGTTGAAATCAGGGCCTCTTCATGCAGCGTCTTGAAGGGTTATTATAATTTTTTAAGGTTTTGCTGATTCTGAGCTCATGAGCTTCTTGGTGATAGACTAAATCCATAGCAGACTGAAGTGTAAACAAGTGCCAGACTTTTCATTTGTAATGTTAGTTATCCCTTTCCAGAGAGCAGAATGACATCTTTCTCTAAGCTAAAATAATATCATATGTCTGCTTGGTAACTGTAGTAGTAGGGAAGAGAAGTAAAATTAAGAAGAATAGCAGTGTTTATATAGACATTCAATGTGTCAAGCTCTGCTTTAAAACTTTACCAAAGTTCACTTCTCACAACAATCCTACAAGGTAGTAGTTTGCTTTTATTATTATTATCCAAATTTTACAGATAAGGAAACAGTCTGGCTACAAAGTATGAGCTCTTAACCACTACAATATGGCTTGGGTGTTGTTTTATCTGTGTATTGAGAGACCCCTCAAAACACCTCTTCACTGCAGCAGGAGCTCACCTCTCCAGGGACCAGATAGAGCCTGTACCCTGGGACCAACACTCCCCTGGACAGTGCTGAATGGAAAATGACCTATCCATGAACCCTATTCCTAAGGTCACTTTCCACTCTCCTAAGACTATGTTTCTTTAGACCTGTTCATGCTTTCGACTGAGTTAAAGTAAGGTCACTGATCTGTAGTCCTGTGAGTCATCTTGTCCCAGCCATCCTGAGTTGATTTAATGTGTCCAATCTTCATGCACTCAGTCACTCAATCAGCAAATGTTAATGTTGCTTTGTTTGTGCCAGACCCTTGGCTGGGGTCTGGGGAAACAAAAATTAATCAGACACATGTCCTACTTGGCACTCTGTCCACAGCTGTGTCTGTTGATGTTGGAGAATAGGCCATCTGCTGGATCCATCAGCAAGTCTACACTAGGTAACTACATCCATACATCATCTCCCTTAACCATCAGCTGACGATTTGTGCCTGTTTATTGCGTGATGGGAAAGAATAGGGTAAAAGATCCACAGACCCTGTGGCTTCAGGTCTGGCTGTGGCTCTCTTTGCTTCAGTGGTGTTATTCAGGGGCCCTGCCCCAGCCCGTTACTTTGAGGAAAGCCCTTTTCACATCTTTGTTTCTGAGGCTGTAGATTATGGGGTTGAGAAAGGCAGAGATGACATTGTAGAACAAAGCCAGTTTCTTGTCCCGCTCTGGGGAGGCATTGGCCCCAGGGTTCATGTACATAAACATGGCGGGTCCACAGAACATGGTGACCACGGTGATGTGGGATGCACAGGTGGAGAAGGCCTTGAGTCGACCATGGGCAGAGCGGATTCTCAAGATGGTGGCAAAGATGCGAATGTAAGAGGCGAGAATAAAGGAAAGAGGTACCAGGAGAAGGATGAAGCCCAGGATGAAATCTACTTGGTCATTGAGGGATGTGTCTGCACAGGCCAGCTTCAGGACAGCAGGGACCTCACAGAAAAAGTGGTTGATCTCACTGGGGCCACAATAGGGCAGGCGCATTGTAAAGACAGTGTAGACTAGGGAACAGCTGACACCCCACAGTCCACAAAAGACTACCATTGCCCCACACAGCCATGCGCTCATGATAACCTTGTATCTGAGTGGGTAGCAGATGGCCACATATCTATCATAAGCCATGACAGAGAACAACCAGCCCTCAGTGATGCCCAACACCAGAAAGATGAACATTTGGGCCACACACCTAACATAGGAGATTGTTTTCTTTTGGCAGACCAGATGCACCAACATCTGGGGAACAGTGGTGGTGACATAGCTCATGTCCAGCATGGAAAGGACACTGAGGAAGAAGTACATGGGTGTGTGGAGGCGGGAGTCCAGGTGGATCAGGGTGACAATGAGCCCATTGCCCACAAGTGTTGAGAGGTAGAGGAAAAGGAAAATGGTGAAGAGGATTGCATTAATTTGGGAATCCCCAGAGAAGCCCAGAAGGATGAACTCAGACACAGAGCTGTGGTTCTCCCATGTCAAGTCCTGCATTCTCCTTTAGCTGCAAAACAAGAACAGGACCTATTAGTGGCCTAGCTTCAAATGCATATCCAGTTACCATGGCCATTCCATTGCTAGAAAGTCCAGTGATTATTTAGGTCCTACTTGGGATTAATGTCAGTTCAGAGACTGAGCTCTACCTGGAGTGAAGCTAGCTTTCGGAGAGGGAGGAAAATATTCATGGAATATTCAGCTTCTCAGGCAAAAATCTCTCAGAACCCCCAATGTCTCATTTCCTTCTCTTTCATCAGCCCCAGTAAGGCCATTTGCTTCTCTCTCCTTCAGAAGCTCAATACATATAGTGCATCGCTTGGGCTCTTCTTCCCAGTACTGGCTGCAGAGTGGAATGATGAAGATTTGAAGCTCTTCCCTCTCTCTTCTCTGAAAATAAGTATGTGGAACCCTTTCCTCTGGAGCCTCAAACTTTTTATCACTATAGAGAAACAGACAGGGTAAGTTAGAAATGTGGAAAAGATATATGGCTCCATAAACATGAAAAGCTCTTAGAAAATTTCAACTATGTCTGTTTTTTGACTCTTGAGCCACTGGAAGCTTCCTCATACCTGATTTCATTTTAGATGAAGTTGTTTGCCAATTCTGCCTCTTTCTGGTCTTACTCATGCCTAAAGGGAAGAGTCTTCCTGCTTGACTCTAAATGTTGACTATTTAAGGCAGAATACCAGCTGACTTCTTTGCTTAAACACACCTAGGGCATCTCTGAATCCCTCCAGTCTGGTAGGACTATCTCTTCCAATAATATCTGTATTCCTTTAGAGTCCCTTTCTCTCTTTAAGACTTATGACTGGCGGGGCGCCCAGGAAAAAGACCGTGCCTGGGTTTAGTTTATACCTCCAAAGATGAAGACTGATTCCCTTGTTCATGGTGCCATAGGAGTAGTGTTTTCCAATGGAGAAGCAAAAGATTTGGAATCAGGAAACTTGAGTTCAAGTCTCAGTACTTCTACTGTGTTCATAGAGAGCAAAACAAATTCACACCCAAATTCTATCAGATACACAAAAAAGAACTGGTACCAATCCTGTTGAAACTGTTCAAAAAATGAAGGAGGATGGACTCCTCACTAACACATTCTACAAAGCCAGTATCACTCTGATATCAAAGATAGGCAAGTACACAAGAAAAATAGAAAACTACAGGCCAGTATTCCTGATGAACATAGTTGCAAAAGCATCAACTAAATACTAACAAACCAAATCGAACAGCACATCAAAAAGATAATACAGCATGATCAAGTGGGTTATATTCCAGGAATGGTATATTGGTTTAATATACCCAAATTAATAAATGTGATTCACCACATAAACAGAATTAAAAACAAAAACAATTTGATCATATCAAAAGATGCAGAAGAAGCATTTGATAAAGTCCAGCATCCCTTCATGATTAAAACCCTCAAAACACTAGGCATAGAAGAAACATACTTCAAAATAATAAAAGCAATATACAATAAACCCACAGCCAATATCATACTAACTGGGGAAAAGTTGAAAGCATTCTTCCTAGGAACTGGAACAAGACAAGGATGCGCTTTTACACCACTCCTATTTAACTAGAAGTCCTAGCTAGAAAGTCCTAGCTAGAGCAATCAGACAATAGAAAGACATAAAAGGCATCTAAATTGGAAAAGTGAAGTCAAATTATCTCTGTTTGCTGATGATATAATCTTATGCCTAAAAATCCCTAAAGACTCTTCCAAAAGACTTCTAGATTTGATAAATGACTTCAGTAAAGTTTCAGGATACAAAATCAACATATATAAATCAATAGCATTTCTATACACCAATAACAATCAAGCAGAGAACCAAATCAAGAACTCAATTCCATTTGCAATAGCCCTAAAAAAAATACCAAGGAATACATTTAGTCAAAGAACTGAAAGATCTCTACAAGGAAAACTACAAAATACTAATTAAAGAAATCACAGATGACACAAACAAATGGAAAAACACCCCATGCTCATGGATTGGAAGAATCAATATTATTAAAATGACCATACTGCCCCAAACAATCTATAGATTCAATGCAATTTCTATCAAATTACCAATGTCATTTTCCCCAGAATTAGAAAAACAATCCTAAAATTCACCAAAAAACAAGCCCAAGTAGCCAAAGAAATCCTAAGCAAAAAGAACGAAACAAGAAGCATCACATTACCCAACTTTAAATTATACCACAAGGCTATAGTAACCAAAATAGCATGCTATTGGTATAAAAATAGACAAACAGATAATTGGAACAGAATAGAGAACCCATAAATAAAGCCACATACCTACAACCAACTGATCGTTGACAAAGTCAACAAAAATATACAGTGGGGAAAGACACCCTATTCAATAATGGGAAAATTGGATAGCCACATGTAGAAGAATGAAACTTGACCCATATCTCTCACCACATACAAAAATTAACTCAAGAGTTCATGAGTTAATCCATGTCTTTAATCCATGATTAAAGACTTACATTTAGACCTGAAACTATAAAAATACTAGAAGAAAACCTAGGAATAACTCTTCTGAACATTGGCCTAGGCAAAGAATTTATGATTGAGACACCAAAAACAAATACAAGAAAGCAAAAATAGGTAAATGGGAATTATTAATTAAACTAAAAAGTTCTGCACAGCAAAAGAAATAATCAACAGAGTAAACACAAAATTTATAGAATGACAGAAAATATCTATAAGCTGTATTTGGCAAAGGAGTAATATCCAGAACCTACAAGAAACTCAAACAACTCAACAAATAACCCTATCAAAAAGTGGGCAAAGCACATAAACAGACATTTTCAAAAGAAGACATACAAATGGCCAAGAAGCATATGAAGAAATGCTCAACATCACTAATCATCAGGGAAATTCAAATTAAAACTATAATGAAATAACTATCTTACACCAGTCAGAATGGCTAATATTAAAAAATCAAAAAACAACAGATGTTGATGAGGATGTTGAAAGAAGGGAATGCTTATACACAGCTGCTGAGAATATAAATGAATATGACCTCTGTGGAAAACAGTATGGAGATTTCTCAAAGAGCTAAAAATAGATCTACCATTTGATCCAGCAATCCCATGACTGAAAGGAAAACAAATCATTATATCAAAAAGACACCTGCACTTGTCTGTTTATTGCAACAACACTATTCACAATAGCAAAGTCATGGACTCAACCTACCTATCCATCAACAGATGATTGGATAAAGAAAATGTGATATATATATATATATATTTTTATATATGTGTATGTATACACACACACACAATGGAATACTCTGCAGTCATTAAAAAAAGAATGAAATCCCATCTTATGCAGCAACATGGATGGAACTGGAGGCCATTATTCTTATAACTCAGAAACAGAAAGTGAAATACTGCATATTCCCACTTATAAGTGGGAGCTAAACAATGGGCACACATGGACATACAGAGCTGAATAATAGACATTGGAGACACCAAAAGGTGGGATGGTGGGAGGTGGGTGAGGGAAGAAAAATTATCTATTGGATACAATATACACTATTTGGGTGATGAGTACACTAAAAACCTAGATTTTACTGTTATGCACTATATCCATGTAACAAATCTGCACTTGTACCCCATAAATTTATAAAAATAATATATATTTATTTAAAAAGAGTATTGTATACCTTTCTAAGGAGCGTGAACTTGATCCTTTAGGCTGTGGCAAGACATCGATGAGTTTCGAGCAGATGAGTTGTAATTTGTCAGGCTTAGGTTTCAGAAACATACTATTTGGCTGGAAGTTAGGAGAAGGTATTAGAAGAAGACTAGTTAAGGGATATGGGGAAAAGGCAGAAAGCGGCTAGTGTTCTCTTGCATGAAGAAGAAAAGAGAGATTAGAGAGAGGTGAGGGAAACTGAATCAATAATACATGGTAACTGAGGTGTGTAGAAGGTGAGAAAGGGAGGAAACAAGGATGAGCTTGAGGAGCCTATACTACATTAGTGGCGTTCTACAAGATAGAACCAGGCCAGGTGCAGTGGCTCACACCTGTAATCCTAGCACTCTAGGAGGCTGAGGCAGGAGGATTGCTTGAGGCTAGGAGCTCAAGACCAGCCTGAGCAAGAGTAAGACCCTGTCTCTACTAAAAATAGAAAAATTAGCTGGGCATGGTGGCATGCACCTGTATCCCTAGCTATTCAGGAGGCTGAGGCAGGAGGATCACCTGAGCCCAGGAGTTTGAGGTTGCACTGAGCTGCGATGACACCACTGCACCACTCTATCTGGGGTGACAGAGAGAGACTCTGTCTCAATAACAAAATCAAAAACAAAACCAAAATCAAACAAGATAGAGCCTAGGTAGAGGGAAAGGAGGGAGACAGGTAGGGCAGAAAGTGGTAGGGAGGTAATGATTAATTCTGGATTACAGACATGCAGAGTTTGAAACATGGGGCATCTTCTTGAGGATCTGCCCATCAGAGAGTTAGACAGATAGCTTTGATGCTCAGGAAGAAAATCTAAATGGAAGATCAATATGTAGGCAGCACCAGAATTTGGAGGGTAATTAAATTATACAATGGAGAGAACTCTGTAGGAGAGAACAGAAGGTTTAACAATGCAACTCAGGAGCATGAACATTGCAGAGAACCCCAGAGGAAGAGCTGGGGCTCGAGAAAGAACATCCAGGGAGGCAGGTGTGAGTGATGCACAAACCCAAGGAGCTGAAGTCTCCCAAGGGGCTGCCCATGGTGCCAAGCACTGCGGACAGGGCCAGGGGAAAGAGGAATAAAAACTGTCCAAAAAATGCACTAATAAATAAATAATAATAAAACTAATAAGTGGCTTGGATGTGAGAAATTTCTATGATGAAGAAAGAAGTCAGATTGCAATGGGTTCTGGGGAGTGAAGTATACAGAGGAGTAAGACAAGAAGACATCAAGATCGGGACATGGGTGGAGAGTGTTTTTTGCTTTGGTTTTTTTGGTTTTATTTTTCCTAAGGTGGAGAAGAGTCTGGAATGTATATCCACTGAGGGAAAGAAGCTAGGCCCCTAAGGAAGCATGTTGCACCAGGACTAAGAACAAGCCATGAGAGGCACTGCCGCAAGAGTAAGATGGAAGGGGAGCAGTAAGAATGGGATGGATACTGACAATTTACCTGTGACCACCAGATCATTCAAGATCACGTCCCTGCAGACCACACAGTCTCATGGGTTCTCTCTTTACAACAGCTGGGAACACAGTGAAGAAGATCTGATTCAGGGGTTGAAAATCAGATTTCAGGTCTCAGCTGGATAGAACAAGAGGCTGATGCCCACAACAAAAAGTGTTATAGGGCTGGGCGCATTGGCTCACGCCTGTAATCCTAGCACTCTGGAAGGCCGAGGCGGGCAGATTGCTCGAGGTCAGGAGCTCGAAACCAGCCTGAGCAAGAGCGAGACCCCGTCTCTACTATAAACAGAAAGAAATTAATTGGCCAACTAATATATATAGAAAAGCTTAGCCGGGCATGGTGGTGCATGCCTGTAGTCCCAGCTACTCGGGAGGCTGAGGCAGGAGGATCGCTTGAGCCCAGGAGTTTGAGGTTGCTGTGAGCTAGGCTGATGCCACGGCACTCACTCTAGCCTGGGCAACAAAGTGAGACTCTGTCTCAAAAAAAAAAAAAAAAAAAAAAAGTGTTATAGGACAAATGTAAAATCTGTCTCCTCTCTTGGCTCCAGAAGCCAGCTGTTCCAAGCTCAGATGGGGCAGCATTCTGTTGGGAAATAGTTGAGAACTTAAACTGGGTCAGTGTAAAGAAATCTTTAAAAAATCAATGTGAGGCTACATCCTTGAGAAAGGACCCCAGCAGGTCACAGGAGGTGTATGAAACCTGCAGTAGCCAGACCACGTGTGGGGCATCAGCCTCACTGCTGGAGCCACATTTAAGGAGAAGCTGAAAAACTTGAAACAGGCTATGAAGAAGGATCTGGAAACCACATCATGTGAGTAAGGGGTGAAGGAAATAAGGATGTCCCTTCTACAGAACTGAATGAAGAGGGGCATTCTGGAAGGTAAGAACCAATTCTCTGAAAGTCTTTCAAGTGAAGGAAAGACAAGCTTTGTTCTGGGCGGTCCCAAGAGGTACAGTTGGGAGTTACACCAAGAAGGCAGGTTTTGGCTCAATCTAACCAGCCTACACCAGTGAGGGCAGTTCATGAGTAGAATCAACTTTCCAAGAAGGTAGTGAGCTTTCTGACCTTATGAGAGAATCAAGCAGAAACTGGTGACCACATGACAAGGATGCATTGTCACCAGTCCTGCACACGGTGGGAGGAGAATAGATAGGGCAGGGGGAATAAACATTGTCCAAAACATGTAGTAATAAATACATAATGAAACTAATAAGTGGCTTGGATGTGAGAAGTTTCTGGGATGAAGGCCAAAGTCAGATTGCCATGTGTTTTGAGGAGTGAACTGTGCAGAGAAAGAATGATATGAGGAGATATCTAGGTCAGAGCATAGGTGGAGGGAGTGTTTCTTTTTGTCTGTTTGTTCGTTTTTCTGCGGGGTTTCTGGTCCACTGCAGCTGGAAGTTGAGGCCTTTGTCCTCTCATCTTCCAGTGTCACCTGGAGTTGAGGCCTGGACCACTGCAGTAGACTCTCAGTAGGGATCCCACTCCCGTCCTGCTACAAAGTGACCAGAATGTGGTGCATAATGGAGAGAATGAGGAGAAGCGAGCATAGGTGGGAGAGAGGTAGAAGGGTTAGGAATAGCTGGATGGGGGCTCCAAGCCCACGGTGACCTCCTTTCCAGCCATGCTAAGCCCAGGCCATGCCTGGGAAGAGTGCCAGCACGTCGGTATCCTGTTGGTCACTTCCCTCTCCTCCAGTGACAGCACCATGCTCTTCCCAGTTCTAATCTCCTCCCAGCTCCCCCGAACCCTCAAACAGTCCTTTCCCCAACTCCCATAACTAGCATAACTAGTCATCCCTGCTTTTACATCTCCTACCAGTCCCCGTATCCTCCGTCCAAGGTGCAAAGCCTGATGGCTGGGGCGCAGAGGAGAGCCACTGCCTCAGCTGCACAGCAGCAGCCTCCGCCTCCCCCAGTGGAGGAGCACGCCCACAAGACAAATAAAGAGGGGGAAAGAGAGACCAAGAGACTGACAGGCCGCTGCGCAGAGAGAAATCAACAACCGAGCAGCACAGAGGTCAGGGAGGAGAGCTGGGTCCAAAGCTCTGATGTGGTGGAGAGGAGGGGGAGGCGGGCAGCGTCAGACAGGGACAGACAGATGGGGAGCAGCAGGCAGGGGCGCCAGGGTGCGGGGACTGCATGCCGCAGGCCCCTGCCCCTGCCCCCGCCCCTGCCCCTGCCCTCCTCACCTGGCGCGGGCTCCGTGAGGGCTGAGCCAGGAGCCTGCTGGGCCCTCCTTTAACAGTCTGCTCCTGATCCTCAGGGAGGACAGGCAGGCAGGTTCCTAATGAGCCACACGTGCCGTGAGATCCCCACCCCACAGCGGCCCTCCCAGGCCCTGAAGGCCCGTTTCGCCTCCACGCCCAGGCCCCCGAGTCTCCCAACCCAACGGCCCCTGCTCCAAACAGCCTCTCTGTTCTGCCTTGCAGTTCCCGGGGGACAGACGTGTGAGCACCGGTTGGAGTAAGTGCAAGGGCCAGGGCTGGCCGGGCATGGCGGGGAAGCCTTCCACACTTCCTGAAGGACAGTAGGGGTTTCCCAGGGGCAGCTGGCAGGGTAGGGCTCCTCTCTGCTTCCGCCGCCAGGGACACTCCACCCTCCCCACCATGCCCTGCTGGGCCCCGGTGCTGTGTGCTGACCTCTTGTGGCCACAGAATACTGTGACTTCCTGCAGGGAAGGGAATATTCCCCAAACAATGGTGGGATCCTTCACGGAATCTGGCTCAGGATGAAACAGCTGATAAATATTCCACATGGGAGCAAAGCCCTAGACAGCCAAAGGACCTGAGATCAAATCCTGGCTCCACCACTTACTAAGGGTGTAATATTGGACAAGATACCAGCCTCCCTGTACCTCAGTTTCTCATCAGTGAAATGGGGCAGTAACAGTACAGAGTGGCTGTGGGGGTTAAATATGATCAGGTATGAAAGATATATGGTAAATATGCATATTTTATAGTTTATACTCGACCCAACTCCCCAAGGTGTGTCAGATAGTTGATCTTCTGTTTGTCTTTCAAATGTGTGTTTTCATAATTAGACTCACGGTGACCAGGGACCACAACTTCTCCCTCTCAGCCACACCCCTCTGCTCCTTGAATGGGGCAGGACGCGCAGCAGGTACTTCATAATGTGGTCAGAATCCATCCCAAGCGTAACTGGGGAGATGCCTCTTGGATGACATGATGTGAGAAGTCTGAAGTCGCTTTCTTTGATTTGAAATCCCTGCCACTGAAGTCAAATACTAGTGCCACTCAGAGATGGAAAACATCTTGTTTTCAAGCTCTGGTTGGTGGCGATTGCCCAGAGCGCTGGGCTGTGGTGGATTCTGAGCCATATCAGAGCTCCCTGAGAAAGCCTGCCAGGATTGATCAGCAACATCGCCCATGATCACTGGAGGGTGATTAGTGGAACATTTCGTAGATATCAGTATGGCGCTCCAAAAGTCCCCATCAATTTTTCATCATTCTCTCTCTCATTAGCATGTTTGATTCAATTCAACAAGCACCTATTGACATCCATCCACTCTGTGTTGCATTTCATGCAGGGATAAATGACACATAAACGACACGTGGTCTGTGCCCTCCAGAAGCTTGTGGTCTAGCAGGGAGAAATGGTCAAAGCACACCAGTGCACTGGTGAGACCTGTCCTGGGAGATGTCCATGGCACAGAGGTAGGAGAAGTGATTCTTTCTGCCTGAGGTTAGGGAACAAGAAGATTTCACAGAAGGATCCTTGCATTTAACTCTGAGGAATGACTAGGAAGTCACCAGGCAGAAAAAAGGAAGGGGGTGCATTTCAAACAGAGACCAGAATGTACAAAGGCACAGAGAGTGCTGTGGGAACACAAAGAAGAAGACTCTCATGAGGATACTGAGGTGGACCTTCTAAAGGAGGGGCATCAACACTGAGATCCTAAAAGCCAAATGACTAGATTGGCCACTAGGGTTGAGACGGACAGCAAATTCAGACTAAAGCCAGTGTTACAGGTTGAATTGTGTCTCCCAAAAGATATGCTGAAGTCCTAACCCCTGGTACCTCAGAATGTGACCTTATTGGGAAATGAGGCTGTTGCAGATGTAATTGATTAAGATTAGGTCATAGTGGAGTGGAGTGGGCCTTTAACCCCAAATGACTGATGCTTTATAAGATGATGTTTATTTCAGGACTTAGGGAGAAAGCTTTCAGTCTTTCATCAATAAATATGATGTTAGCTGTAAGTTTTTCATTGATACTCTTCATTAGGTTGAGGAAATTCATTTTCATTCCTAAACTGTTGAAAGCTTTTTTTTTTTTTTTTTTTTTGAGACAGAGTCTCACTTTGTTGCCCAGGCTAGAGTGAGTGCCATGGCGTCAGCCTAGCTCACAGCAACCTCAAACTCCTGGGCTCAAGCGATCCTGCTGCCTCAGCCTCCCGAGTAGCTGGGACTACAGGCATGCGCCACTATGCCCAATATATTAGTTGGCCAATTAATTTCTATTTATAGTAGAGACAGGGCCTCGCTCTTGCTCAGGCTGGTTTCGAACTCCTGACCTCGAGCAATCCGCCCGCCTTGGCCTTCCAGAGTGCTAGGATTCCAGGCATGAGCCACCGCACTCGGCCTGTTGAAAGATTTTATTATGAAAGTGTTCGATTTAGTGAAATGGTTTTTATGTAACCTTATCCATAATCATAAGGCTTTTGCCTTTTATTATATTAACATGGTATTTACATTGATTAATTTTTAAATATTGAATCGACCTTCTATTTTTTGGTGAATCACCATTGGTTGTGTTGTATAATAATTTTATGTGTTTCTAGATTTCACTTTTTAGCATTTTGTTGAGGATTTTTGTGTCTATATTTATAACAGATATAAGTCTGTAGTTGTCTTTTCTTGTAATGTCTTAGTGTGGTTTTGGTATGAGAGTAATTTTGGCCTTATAGAATGAATTGAGTACTACCTCCTTTTTTTTTTTTTTAAGAATTTGAAAGGATTGGTGTTGATTCTTTAAATGTTTGGTAGAATTCACCAGTAAAGCCATCTGGTCCTGGGCTTTTCTTTTAGGAAGTTTATAAATTACTAATTAAATATCTTTACATGAATAGGTATATTCAGAGCTTCTATTTCTTTTTGAGTCAGTTCCAGTAGTTTATGTCTTTCTAGAAATGTGCCCATATCTTCTAGGTTAATTTGTTGACTTATAATTTTCTATAGTATTCTTTTATAATTCTTTTTATTTCTGTAAGAGCCATAGTAATCTTCTCTCTTTCACTTCAAATTTTTATATTTTAAGTCTTCTCTTTTCTTTTCTTGGTCAGTCTAGCTAAAGGTTTGTTAATATTGTTGATCTTTTAAAGTAACCAATTTTCAGTTTTGTTCATTTTCTCAAAAAATTTCTTATTCTCTATTTTATTTAATTACACTCAAATCTTTATTATTTCCTTCCTTTCTGCTTGCTTTCAGTTTAGTTTGCTTGCCTGCCTTTCTTAAAGTAAAAGGTAAAGGTATTGATTTGAGATCTTTCTTCCTTTTTTAAATATAGGCACTCACACATGTAAATTTCCCTCTAAGCATCATTTTTGCTGTATCCCATAAGTTTTGTTATGTTACATTGCTGAATCTCCAGTTCTAGAATTTTTTTATGTAGGATCTTTGTGGTTTGTTATCAGTTTTGTTTTACATAGACAACTAGGTTATCTGCAAATAGAGGCAGTTTTAGTTTTTCCTTTCCAGTCTCTTTTCTTTCCTTATTTCACTGGCTAGGATTTCTAGTACTGTCTTAAATAGGAGTAGTAAGAGCAAACATCCTTGTTTTAGACTGATTTTAGGAGGAAAGCACTTAGTCTTTCATCACTGTGTGTGATGTTACTGATGTTTTTTATAGGTGGTCTTAATCAGAGTGAGGAAGTTTCCTTCTATACCCAGTTTCCTAAGAGAGAGAGTGTGTGTATATATCATGAATGAGAGAAAGGACAGTCCAAGACACATACATTTGAAATAGTCTTATGCAAATATATTTGAAGGACATGTTAGCAGATCTTTTTATCAAGAAGATTTAAGGCAAAGATGTAGGCTGGATCTTATATAAGATGTCTTCCAGCCTGATTTTCAATTTTTTCTGAGGTCAGGGTTAAATGCTTAGTTGGTAGTGCTGAGAGTTCATGGGGAAGCAAAAATTTTCATCTGGTTTAAAAGTAGTTAGGAAACTTCCTGAGGAGATCTGTATGAGGCTTTTATGAATGAGCAAGGAGACAGTTGGGAAGTGGGAGGAGAGGACATTTCAGGTGGAATAGCCTATGCAAAGACCTGAGAAGTCAGGACAGGCCAGAGTAGAGGAATCACACAGAGAGGTGGGGAAACGGGGTGGGACTGCTGTGGGTTTCTATTGCTTTGAGAGCTCTAAGAAAGAAAGCCCATGGCTGGGCATGGTGGCTCATGCCTATAATTCCAGCACTCTGGGGGGCTGAGCCAGGAGGATCGCTTGAGCTCAGGACTTCTAGACCAGTCTGAGAGCAAGAGCAACACCCCATTTCTACAAAAAATAGAAAAATTAGCCAGGCATGGTGGCATGTTCCTATAATCCCAGCTACTGGGGAGGCTGAGGCAGGAGGATCACTTGTGCCCAGGAGTTTGAAGTTGTAGTGAGCTATGATGATGCTACTGCACTCTAGCTGGGGCAACAGAGCAAGACTCTGAGAAAGAAGGAAGGAAGGAAGGAAGGAAGGAAGGAAGGAAGGAAGAAGGAAGAAGGAAAGGAAGGAAGGGAGGGAGGAGGAGGAGGAGGGAGGAGGGAGGGATGGGAGGGCAGTGTTATGGCAGGGAGGAGGGAAGAAAGAAAGAAAGAAAGAAAGAAAGAAAGAAAGAAAGAAAGAAAGAAAGAAAGAAAGAAAAGAAAATGAAAATTAAGAAGTCTCATTAGTTCCAGCAGAGGCCCTCTCTAATAAACCCAGAGCAATTTTCTCAACAAGCCCCCAAGAAACACAATCAGCATGTCTTATTGACAATTTTATTTCTGACTCCAGAAAATCAAGGCTGCTCTTTCTCTAGGGCTTGTCTCCTTAGGGGCTGTGAGGTTCAGGCAGTAGAGCCTGGCACTGGAGACCCTTCCCTTCTCAAAGTTCCACATCACTCTTAGAGCTTGTATTCATTTAATGCTTGGGGAATGCTAAGAATTCTCTAGGCTGGCAATTCTCATAAATGTGTCTTCTGGAGAAAGTTGCTTATGAGCAAAGCACACTCTCAGCATTTATTAGTCTTTTGGGTTGTCTTACCATTCAGATAATCCTTTGTTTTCAGGTAAAACTTCCTTCAAAGCAGTTAAGAGCAAGTGGAATATTTTGTTAATTGTCTCCTATCATAAAAACATGTAACTAACTTAAAAGGTTCATTTGTGTCACCTTTTACAAAGCAATTTAATATTTGTCTGAAGCTAGAGTGGTGGAAATTCATTTTTCTTTAATATAACTAGAAATAGTTTAGTTCTTGGTTAATGTGGCATCTAATGCTGTGATTTTTTTTCTAATTTTGGGGTATGTGTATTGAAAACATGACTCTCTGGATATGCAGCCAATTGCCACCATGAGTGTTCCACCCACACCTTCTGATCTCACAATAAACCTAATCTTAACATTTGAAGTTGACAAATACAAGCTACTATTAATAATTTCATGAACATTTTCTAGGATATTTAGTTTCAAAGTAATGATTCTCTAATAATAATATACACAATTATTTAAGTTTTAAGTCATGTTTCCATTTGAGCTTAAAAATAATTTTATGGTGCGGCTGGCCAGAGTCAGACTTGGTCATTATCTCCATTTTATGTTTCAGAGGACTGAGCTCTGAAGAGATTAGGTGTTTCTTCCAGGATCTCAAAAATTTAAGTCAAGACTAAGGTCTGGGGCACTTTCCACTGTCCTCATATGTTCTCTCTGGTAGCAAAAGAAGTTTAGGGGTAAGTCAGTTGTGGAAACCAAGACACTCTCCTTGTAAATAAAAGTCTGAGTTATTGGAAACCACAGCTGGGGTAGACACAATGGAAATAGAAGGGAAACCCATGAAGGCAAAGTAGATCTGAAAGAAGAATTAGGGAGACTACAGGCCACAAATGGGGGTGAAGCTGGGAAAAAGTACTCAAAAATCATTTATTGAGGAGTTAACACTCCGTTGTACAATGCTATCATGTTAGGCTACAGAGTGCTGGAGAGGAAGATCTAAAGTACCCAATAGAGCTCTAGACATCAGGGATCTCACCCTGTAGTTGTGACTTATAATAATAAGCTTGACCTCCTATTTTTAACTTTTCAAGTCTTTTCAACTTTCCCCAATAGTATCCCATCCATTGTCTCAGCTAAGTCTCAAAAGTCTTGATTGTTTACTTAAGATGTGTCATATTATAATAGATAAGGGCCTAGGCTTTGGAACTATGCTACCTGGATTTAAATCTCAGCTGTGTAACTTTCTAGCTGGGTGACATTTGGCAATTTATTTAGTCTTCTTGTGCCTCCGTTTCTTTATTTGTATAAAGGAGATAAAATACCTACCTCTAGAGTTATTTTAAGAATTAAAATAAGTACATATAAAGCACTTAGTGACCGTCATATAGAAAAAGATCCATAAAGTTGACTATTCTTATTTAGGCACAATGACTATCATAAAACACATTTTACAGATATGGAAATTAAATCTCAGAGAAATTAGATGACTTTTCCAAAGACAAGAAGGTCAATGACCTTAAAGTTCTCTCTAAGTCCTTTCCTAATGTTTCCATGGGCAAATTAATGTGAATGTGTTTTTTTTCTAAACACCTTGCTCATCCTGGCAGTCCTCATTCACTCCAGTGACTTCCGCAATGGTGTGTATGGTGCAGAGAAGAGACAGAAACACCATAGATAGTCCTAGTCTGTGACCTATTGAGTGTCCTCACTCATTCGGATTAACTTGAGGAAAGCCCTCTTCACATCCTTGTTCCGGAGGCTGTAGATGATGGGGTTAAGGAAGGCAGAGATGACATTGTAGAACAGAGCCAGCTTCTTGTCATCCTCTGGGGAGGCTTCAGAGCCAGGCCTCATGTACATGACCATGCATGGAATACAGAACATGGTGACCACAGTGATGTGGGAGGCACAGGTGGAGAAGGCCTTGATCCGCCCTTGGGTGGAGCGAATCCTTAGAATAGCTGTGAAGATACGAATATATGAGGCCAAGATGAGGGATAATGGGATCAGGAGCAAGATGAATCCCAAGATAAAGTCCACTTGGTCATTGAGGGAAGTGTCTGCACAGGCCAACTTCAAGACAGCAGGAATTTCACAAAAGAAGTGGTTGATCTCATTGGGGCCACAGTAAGGCAGATTCATTGCAAAGACGGTGTAGACAAGGGCACAGGTGAGACCACAGAGGGCAGAGCTGACTGCCAGGAGAACACAGAGGGTTTGACTCATCTGGACCCCATAGTGGAGTGGATGGCATATGGCAACATATCTGTCATAGGCCATGGCTGCAAAAATCCAAGTTTCAGTGATGCCCAAGGTCAGGAAAATGTACATCTGGACCACACAGCCAACATAGGAGATGGTCTTATTCTTGCTTACCAGATGGACCAACATCTGGGGCACTGTGGTGGTGGCATAACTGAGGTCCAGGAGAGAGAGGATGCTGAGGAAGAAGTACATGGGGGTGTGGAGGCATGCATCTACTCTGATCAGGGTGACAATGAGCCCATTGCCCAGGACTGTAAATAAGTAGAGGAAAAGGAAGATGAAGAAAAGGATCCAGTTGGTTCTGGGATTTCTGGAGAAGCCCAAGAGGATAAACTCAGTTACAGAGCTGTGATTTTTCCAGCCTCTACTGTGCATGGCCTTCCTTCTGAGGAGAGAAGAGGACACATCCCTGACTCCTTTGCAGTCTCAGAGGGAGAACACTGTGTGAGATCCACAAAAGCAGGATTGAAGCCACAATACCCACAGAACATTCTATCCAAATTGGGCTATCATAGCTCTAGGCACTAATAGGAATTCTATAACTACTCATTCATTTGTTGAATTAAGTAGACCTTATAAAATTTCAAGGGTCTTGTTATGGGAATCGTACAGAGAAAAAGTCTTATTTTGAAGAACACACACACACACACACACACACACACACACACACACACACACACCATACATCAGTCAAAGTGAGGGAGCTAGTAAAATACAAAATATTTTGCAGTAAACCAAAAAGTTCTAAACCTGTCTGTAGTTCCTAAAGTCATTCTTTCAAATAAGACTAACAGGTGCTGTGAAGAACAGTGCAAATGTAAAAAAAAAACAAAAACAAAAAAAACCCCCAGTTTCTTTTCTTTGCTTTCTTCCTCTCTGATGCTATACCTTTGAAAATCCACACACCATACATTTTTAGGAAAAAAGGGAATTTCAAATACACTTTTTTGGGATGAGAAGAGAATCTTTCTCCTACAACCTCTCTCCTCTCACCCCACCTTCCCTGCCCCACCTGCAGTGATTGCAAGTATAAAGAACAAATTGAGGCAAGGCGCATTGGGAGGCCAAGGGGGGGTGGATCGCTCAAGGTCAGGAGTTTGAAACCAGCCTGAGCAAGAGCAAGACCCCCGTCTCTACTAAAAATAGGAAGAAATTAATTGGCCAACTAAAAATATATAGAAATAATTAGCCGGACATGGTGGTGCATGCCTGTAGTCCTAGCTACTTGGGAGGCTGAGGCAGGAGGATCACTTGAACCTAGGAGTTTAAGGTTGTTGTGAGCTAGGCTGATGCCACGGCACTCTATCCAGGGCAACAGAGTGAGAGTCTGTCTCCAAAAAAAAAAAAAAAAAATAGAATTAAAACGTAGAGAAAACTTCTGTGCCCTTGTCATTTCTCAAAAAGATGAATCACATTTAGCTGGGAACGAGATACCTGTTTGTCTGGAAGCTTTTCTTGAAAACCAGCGAAGAATCTCCCACAGCCACATTGTTCACAGGCAAAAGCTAAGTGCTGGGTGGGAATGAATATTCAGTTTGGTCTGGACTCGACCTTTTGCCCAGGTGGGCAGCCTGGGCAACTGGACATGTTATCGACTAGTCCTTCACTCTTTACCCTTTTGCTGGTCCTTAAATGGCTGCAACAGAATGCCATCACCTGATATACCATTTTTTCCAGACCCCAAAGAAGGAAAGGGACATTTATAAAATGTCACTGTAAAATGCTTCAGTAAATTGATCCCACTAGATTATCAACACAACTCATGGAGGTCAGAATAACCATTTTAACTTTCATAAAATCAGCCATCCAAGGTCAGATAGTAAATGATAGAGCCAGAACTCAAACTCCAAGTCTCATGCTCTTACCACTACATTAAGTTGAACTGTGTCTCTCACATCATCACATTTTATGCAGGGTTTGACTCATCTGGACCCCATAGTGGAGTGGATGGCATATGGCAGCATATCTGTCATAGGCCATGGCTGCATGCACCAAACACAAAATAGGCCCACTATAGGTGACATTCTGAGAGAAAATTGACTTGTGTATTCACAGGTTTAGAGAGCAGAAAGTACATATTGCACAGCATTGTGAATTGTTAAGTTTTTCTCATAGAAAACTTGCAAACCTTGGATCAGAATCTCAATGTCTGAATTACATAAGAAGTGAAAGGCTGATAGCTATCAATTTGAGTTAAAATAACACTCCATAAAGACATGGAGAGGATTCAGGCTCAGAAGGATGAGGAAATGTTAGATGCAATGTGCAGTAGCATAGCAGTTAGCAGGATCTGAGTTTGAATCCTCACTTTAATTGTGAACGCAGCCTAGTAAGTGCTAACTATGTGCTGAGAAATCTGAAATATATCTCCAACCTGAATCCCTCCCTTGAATGCATCTGTCCAACTGCCCACTTGATATCTATCTTCATTGAGATGTCTAATCAGCAAGTTAAGCTTCACATTTTCTAAAATCAAACTTCCAATCTTAAAACTATGGTGTTCAAATAATTGTAGTGTTCAACAGGGATGGGGGTGGAGACCCACATCTTAAGGATGTGATGAGCATTGTAGGGGGGAAAGGATTACCTCTATCCCTTTTTAGGGAGAGGCAAAGAAACACACTGTAACCAAAATGTCTAAAAAAAATTTGTTAATGGGAGGTGAACAGGTGGAAGGGGGGAGAAGGGGAAGGGTACGAACTTTCATGGTGGGTGCAGTGCGCACCACTTGAAGACTGGACGTGCTTGAAGCTCTGGCAAAGCGGGGTGGAGAGGGGGGCCAGGGGCAAGATATGTAGCCCTAACAATATTTGTACCCACAGAATTTGGGAAATAAATAAATAAATAATAAAAATTTAAAAAACTTCCAATCTTCCCCTATGAACTTGCTCCTTACACACTCTTTATCAGCTCAGATAATGGCAGTTTCATCCTTTGACGTGGCTAAAATGAAAAAAATAAAAACCCTCAAAGTCTTTCAAACTTTTCTTTATCTCACACCCACCATGCAATACACCCTCAAATATTCTTGGTTCCCTTTCACAGATATATTCCAGAAAAGATCACTTTTCATCATCTCTACCATTGCTACCAGTCCAAACCATCACCTTCTCTTGCCAGGAATATTGCAGTATCCCCTAACTGGTCCCATGGTTTCCACCCTCTTCCCCCACAGCCTATTCTTAGCACAGTTATTAGAGTGCTCCTGTTAAAATGTAGGCCAAATCATGTAAATTCTCTCATTGAAACCCTCGAGTGTCTTCTTGTGTCACTCAGAGCAAAAGCCAAAGTCCTGATAAGCATTCCAGGGTCCCCCATAAGCTCTCTGTCCTCACTTCCTACCTTTCACCTCTCGTGCCTTCTGCTCCAGGTATACAGTCTTTTGTTGTCCCTCACACACGGCATCTCTTGTGTCAGAGCTTTTGTACTTACTGTTTGCACTGCTGGAAATTCTCTTTTCCCAGATATGCTTTATGGTTCACATTCTCACCTCCTTCAGGTATTTGCTCAAATGTCATCTCAGGGAAGACCTGAGTCTCTCCTGACCACCCTGTTTAAAATGGAAACACCCCACAGCCCCTATCCCTACCTCCTATTTTATCTTTCATAAAGGTAGCATTTAGCATCATCTAATGTACTATATAACTTTTTGTCAGTTTCCCTCACAAGAATGGAGGAATTTTTATCTTCTTGATTCATTGTGTATTGCCAGATTCTAGAACATTGCCCTGAATATATTAATAGTAGGTATTTATAAATGTTGGGTAAATGACCCATCTGTGCCTCTGAGGCACAAGCAACGAGCGAGCGTTTCTCATGGTGGAACTATCCTTGGTGCTGAATCTTACTTCGTATGCAGAGAGCAGTTGCGCTGACCTCATTTTGGGCCTTTCCCTTGAATTTACACAGCCCTTGCCAGATTTCTAAATAGGGACTGGTCCAAGCCATTTAATACATTTTCCATAGTCATCTCATAATGTTGCAAAGTCAATACTCACTATTAACTGCATCTTACAGCTGTGGAAATTGAGATTTATCAGAGGTAAGCAAAGAGCCCAGTGACTGCCCAGAGCACTATTTTCAATTATTGGACCTGCCATGTAAAAGGAAAAAATAACAAAGAGTTATCTCTTTGAGTTTATCTATTCAAAGAAGACAGTTTATCAACAAAGAACCTGTGAAACCATATTATTTAAAGAAGAGTAGAAGAGATGAGAAAGTCGGGCTTGGAGACTCATAAGGAACTAGGGAGATCTCATCAAATTTTCCAAAGTTTGTCATGCAGAAAAAGGTAGAAATGTGTAATGTATGTTCAGAGGGAAAAATTAAATATTATTTCTGAAAGTTACAGGTAGGGCAAATTTTAAGCTCAATTTACAAAAAAGAAAAAAATACCAGTGGTTATTTACACTGTCAGATGATGGAACATTATGCTATTGAGGGGAGAGTGAAATAGGAAGCTTTCCACTTTTAGAAGTGTTCAAGCATAAGCTATAAGGCCATATTATTCAGAAGTACTATCACTGCTTTGAATGTGAAGTTAGGATGGACAACTTTAAAAAGTCTCTTTTATCATAAATATCCTAAATTTCTAAAGCTCAATGACATAAAGATTCAGGGAATATTTAATTTTAGTGGTGACTTCTCAGTAGGCACCCAATCCCATAGAAGAATCTAGAACCAAAACAAATTAATAGGGTAAAAATGGGAACGAAATAAGCCTGAAAGAAAGTGGAACTACAATGTTGGTCAACCGTTACATGAACTTTAAAAAGATAATTTAAAGTTTCTGCTATCTTATTTTTGCAGATATGGAGCTCCCTTGGGGGCTATGCTTGGTACCTAGAAAGGGTTACTCTTCTGCTCCTGAGCAGGCCCCACATGGGATCGACCCTGAAAGGAGAAGAGAGATACTAAGAAAAGGGACAGGCTAGAGGCTAAAGGAAAAACATGGTTATAAACCTGCTTTAAAGTTTTGGTATGTTTTCCTGTTTAAAATTCTTTATACTTGTCCCTCCTGAGAGAATGTTCTAAGAACCAAATTAGGGAAATATGGGCTATAAAAATTTTGTCAGGTAGCAACTGTACTTAAACCACAGGAGGACTTTAGAAGATCCAAGACAGGGTGGGGATGAGAAGAGTATTTTTACTAAAGGAAGACAAAAACTCCTTCCTTGATCTTCCTGCTCTAATCTCTCTTCCATCCAACCCATCCTACACACTGCCAGAGTGACTGTTCAAAAAGCAGAGAAGACCATGACATTTCCCTGTTAAAAGGTCCTTACTGAACTCTCATTATCTATTACTAATACCCAAACTTCCTAACATGGCACTCAATGCCCTTCAGAATCTGATTCTTATCCTTGGCATTTTAG